TGGCTGACAGCAGCAGATCATTTCAAAGATCTGCTAAGCCCTCCTATTTTGCATTCAGTTTAGATTCTGATGAGAAAAAAAAAATAAATCAAAAGAGATTCTATAAGCTCCCCACTCCCCTGTAAATTCTTTTGTTGCATCACTAAGCGGATATGTGTCTTAAAGAAAATTAACGTTTATTTGCACTGAAAGTTATCAAAATAAGATTGATTTAATCAAAATGGCCCCAGCATGTTATTGTGTCATTCCTTGTCATGCGTTTTGTAAATGCGGTTGAGCAAATGTGCCAGATGAGCTGAAAAGTGCAAACTCGTCCATTTCAACATGACGTAACCCATCGTTAAAAAGGCTAAAAGCTGTTGATCCCAAGACCTTATATGACATGTTTGTCATCCAGGCAAATTTTAAATGGTGAATCGCTCAGCTGCTAATAACCCAAAATGATGTTAATGTTAATGTGCTATAACTTAATAGCTCTCAAAAAGGTCTTCACGTTTGGCAGAGAATATTTTAACTGAAGTCAAGAGGCTAGAGTAAATTCAGATATGTATCTTAGTAATCCCAAGTGGCATACGACACAATTTAAAGATGGGTCTTACTCAGGAGCTTTTAGAGCTGTGTAGATGTTTGAAGGGGGACGCTTCCCTTTGGTGACAATTTGAGGAAGTATTCTTTAGAAGCGGTTTCATTTCTAAGAGTGAAGTGGCCGTTCTGCTTTGCTTCACTCACCTCTCCATGTAGCGTAGGCTCCCTTTTGCAGCTAAAAACAAAGAAGAGTCACAGGATACCTTACAGCTTATGCCACATGGAATGGTTGTGATCGCATCAACCGTATTGGACTTCTGTGCTTGGCCTTTATTCTCCCTCCAAAATGGGTTTCCTTTATTTATGTATTTGTTTTCCAGGCAACCAGAATAAAGCACGGATTTAACTGAATGGAGACTGTAGGTTAACACTTTAGCTGTACTGAGTTGCATTATAGCTTTTCTTTTTAATATACAGACATGCATTACTGCTGTCCATAATTGTCTGCATTGTGCTAGGCATGTTATGGTTACTGATGGTCATCTGACCATCTGATGCTGTTGGCATTGTCTCGAGCAGCATTTCTTAACCTTGGCAACTTTCAGATGGGTGGACTTGAACTCCCAGAATTCCCCAGCCAGCATGGCTGGCTGGGGAATTCTGGGAGTTGAAGTCCGCCCGTCTGAAAGTTGCCAAGATTGAGAAAAACTGATCTTGAGCAAAGCAAATCAACCAATGACAGGTTCCTAAGAACAAACAGCCCCCGTAATCTATAATGATGAGGCCAAGAAATCCTCAGCGATCCTTAGAGAAGCCATTTGAAGGAATGTCCAGCTCAAGTTCCCTTTCAGGAAGGAAAGGAAGCCACGGCTGAAGACAAGGGGCTTGGAAAGTGCTTGTTAATTGTTAGGCTATAGCAAAAGTGTAAGCAGCACATTTAAACAACAGTCCTTATTTCTGGATGTGTTGACTGTAGAGAAAAATTATCTTGCCTATTTTTCTCATTGAAATGGATGGGTTGGGGTTTTTTTTCTTCTTTTCAAATTTTATTTCAGAGTAGAAAAGATTTCCAAGGTATCCAGATGAGTACAGTAGTGGTTTTTTGGATTTCGTTATTAGGTGGCCGTGAAGCATTTGTGAACGTCCTGTCTTTCATTCTACATTCATTATACTCATCAGTACCCATGGCCTCTCTGGCTTCAGTTATACACTAAGAAAAGACATTAAGAAATAACTCTGTTAGTTCCCCCTACCCCCCCCCCCAAAAATAATAATGGGAAATTCAGGCAGCCAGAGAGGCTTCAGCGTGATGGAAAGACGTGTAACAGAAAATGCCATCAATAGTGATAGCATGCTCTTTGTCACCTGCCACAATAAAGTGAGTTCAAAGACACCATCAAATGGAGTATTTGACATGTATCTTGTAACATTTAATAGAAATTCTTCTGAGGAGAACAGAGGCCTCTTTTGCAGAAGAAAAGTTTGAAAAATTAGATGGTGGATATTGCCACAGCATTATATTCGGTGATGGTGTGAATATGGAACACGGGATCAGAAGCTTTCAAGTTCCAAAGACTGCAGGGATCAAACTGAAAAAGCACATTTAAGCAATTGCTCCTTTCCTGTCTCCTCTCTTTGCTCCCCCCCACCACCCCCACCACATACAAGCCAACAAGTGTTTTTTATTCCTTCCTGTGGGATATAAACTACTACTTTGTCCTTGGGAAACCTGTTGGAAACCCACGTTTGCCCCCCTCACTCATGCCACAGAGTCCTCATTAGCCATCTGCAATATACAAGTCATTTTCCTGCACACATCCCACCCATCATCTTAACAGATATTTTGCTAGTTCGCCATATTTCATAAATGAATTCACATAATACAACAAGATAAATAATCCAAATGAAAATGCCCACAAAACATCAATTTATGGAACTTCAGTCTGATTTTCTTCTCCTGACTAACCTGAGCTTGAAATTTAAATTGAAGTGCACGGGCATACAGCGCTTGATCTGATTCCTTTTGTATACTTAACCTACGAATGATTTTCCACTTCCCTTTAAATCAGTATGCAGGCAAGTTTCATAAAAAGGACTGATTTGTATCCTGCTTGTGGTACACCCATTTATACAATTGCTCTCTTAGGAGAGTTACAAACCAGAAGGCCAGTCGATGTTTTGTTCATAGCATTTTGATCCTTCGGCAGATTGGCTCGTATTTCTAATGACTTTTTCTCATACAAATTGCTGTTTGGCAACGTGCTGATTGGCTGACAAGGTTGGATGACATGGAATGTTTATCTGAGCAAAATATAAACTTGACATACATTCTTATGCAAATGAAAGAGAACAAATTTGCCTTAAAAGAACAAAAAAGTCTGCTCTGCAACTACTGTAATAGCTGGACTGGAGACATAGCGGTAAACAGATTGCATTATTCTGTTCTTTCTTGACTTCAGAGTCTAGCCCAACCTGTCCAAATGCTTAGGGTTGCTCACAGTGCTTTGCACTAAAGATGGATGATTCAGCTTGGCACGCGTAGAGTGCTTCCTTTAAGCATTTCACCTATGTTGTTTAATAAGGTAATCCTTAATATTTTTATTCAGAAGGACATTCTCTTGTGTCCATAGGTCTTACTCCCAAGAAAGTATGGACAGGATTAGGACCACCAGTTGCAAACATCTCTAATCTTGAGGACTGCTAAGTTCTTACCTCACTAGCCTGGAAATTAAAACAGACCACACTATCTTTATTAAGGTTGGAATTACTTGGCAAGATAAGGGCTTCACAGATCATATGAGGTCATGGACTGGGCACATAATGGCTTAGTAAAAATTCAGCCTTTGGACTTACTATTCCAGAAAGATAATTGAGAGCATTTTTAAGCCACACCTTGTTTGCATTTTAATGGCATGAAGGAACTTCAGGGGCTTACCCTGACCTGGACTGGCAGTTGGCACTGCTGATCTGAGTGGGCTTATTTTATGTCAACTTGGCATTAGCAACTGAGCAAGATGTCTGGAGCTGAGATAAATTAGCTTGTCTGAACTGAGCTGGAATTTGAATTAGGGATGCTCTTAAATATGCATCACATATCTTGTCTAGAATAAAAGGAATAGAAAAGGCACATGATTAAACGACATTTTTACAAGGACGTAGATTTAAAAGAAACAACCTTACCCAAGCCAGTTCAAAATATTCAGCAGGAGTATATGATAAAGATTGCACCATCTTATGGCAGCAGGTCCTAACTTTCTACTAGCAGATTCCTTGCAAGTTGAAAGCTGGATCATAGATGTAAGCAAGCTAAGGACTTTTTTTTGACATCCTGGCTTTATACAGAGGATTTCCACATGGAGCTTTAATGCAGGATTCTGCTCTTGAATTCCCACCATGGCTGCTGAGCTACCAACCCAATTTTCTTCCCAAAGGAGTCCCTGGAGCTTGGGAGATTATGAGTTCCATAAGCAGGAACTTCATCAATCCCCATCTCCTGATTCCTTGACACTCCACTCAGTCATTCGGTCAATAAATCAACTTTATTACAGGTATTGATCAATTAAAGAAAGAAGAGAGAAGAGAAATTCTGAGACAGCAAATGAAAATTGGAATAAAACTGAATATTTATAAAACTGATATGGTCAAAGTACAATGTATTTTACAAAAAATGAAACAAAACTTAACAAAACTTTATTCAGGGAAATAAAATCACATTGGTTGGACAGTAACAACTGTAACCAGAATGAAATTGGATGGCCTGGAAATCTGGCTAGATGGGAAATTATTAGCTGGGCATTTTTGTAATAAGGGCAATATGACAAAGCATGGTTTAATGTTTCCATAACTTCTTCATCAGAGTCCTTGTTCAAATGGGATATTCCCAGTTTCCCCTCAAGAATAGTTGTCAGAAAGCCATTAAATCTTGACAAAGTTAGGATTCCTCTGAATTTAGGAACTGTTATTTGGCTTAAATAACTTGCTGGCTTGGAAAAGGGGCAGTGATTATCTAGGAATGCATCTTTCGGTAGAGCAGGGACACTCAACCCCCCAAAAATAAAAGATTCAGTCTCCTGAACCACCTTTCCCCCATTTCTGGCTCTGCCCACTACCATTATTTACACATGGATCTGGTTGGTGGATGTCAATATTCTATAACATTTGCAGAGACTTGCAAGTTGAAGAGGGTTGTTAATGCTGTTCCCTATTCTTCTAGTCATCCCTTCCCTTCCATGTGCTTTCCTTTCAGCCAGATTTCGAGATACATGCTTGCCGCATTGTAAGAAAAGCAGCTGTAGAGGAAGAGGGAGTATCAAAACTCACATGACTGAACAGGCTTAGCCTAAAACATTTCAGTGGCAGACCAAGATGACAGGCAGAAAGGCCAATGGCAACCTCAAATTAATCTGTAAGGTAACAGAGGATTCTGGCAAACAGAAATAAAGAAACCCTTGGTCCATCTACTTCAGGCAGCCAAGAAGTACATCTAACATTTGCCGAAGATAAGGACTATAAAGTGAGCTGCATCATATATGCAATTTGGGCTGAATGAGGGGGAATTTGGGATTGTTTTTTTGGATATGCCTACTTCAGAGCTTACACTGCAATTCTCATGTATTCACCAGCAGAAAACAGCAGTAAATTGTGTTACTTGTTTTCAGCAATCAGGATTAGAGGTAGATCTGGGCTGCAACCCTCCAGAAAACCACTGGATGACAGCAAAGCAATTTAGCTTCCATCTAGAGGTTATCTGGATTTTTGCAGCCCAAATCTGGTAGCCCTACCTCTGATCCTGATTGCCTGGAAGCCCTAATCAGAGGTGTATCAGAGCTCCCCAAAGGAAAATTGGGGAGGTCAGGTTGCTCATTCCTGATCCAGCTCAATAACACTTGTTCCAAGTGGCAGCTGCCTTCCAGGGCTACAGCTGGAAGTCTTTCCCAGCCTTACCTGGAGATGCCATGAACGTCATCTTCTGCATGCACAGAATGTGTTTTCCATGCAGCAGATTCCCACGTTTATTGCAGGTCATCCCATGAAAATCATGAAAAAAACCATGCCACGCTAGGTATCTTTCTGTTGTACTTATACGGTCAGATCGACTTCTAATGCACCCAAGTAAATCAGGGCAATTATTTGTACAATAATATAAATTCTTCATATCATAGGTAGTCTGGTTTGGGCTTCAGTACAAAACATTTCAAAAAATGTTTGGCGTCTGAATATGGGTTTATTTTTAAAGCGCCATCTTAATACTAAACTGGACCATATATTTACAGTGTTCTTAACTGATAGGCTGCAGATGAGGAGAATCAGGAGAGCTCCGTAAACGTTTCAGGTTAATTCCCACCATATCTTACTCTTTATCACAGCCAGTGACCCGTCTCACATTATCTGTATGGGCCTGCTAAGTTTAACACTTTTCAAACAACACCTAGTATTTGTGACAAATCAAAATAAACAGCAAGTTTTACCCATGAGAAAAGAAGGGGGGGAGGAAATGTGTAGGACAGGAGGTACCATTAAGGAAATTTTCTTTGGGGGGAAAAACAGGGTTAGGGAAGCAAAAAGGTATCTATATTATCTCCTGGAATACGGATACAGCTTCATACTGTACTGAGAGAAGAAATCATACAAGTAGGCTTTAGAAGTACTGTCTGTTACAATGGCTGTACATGTGAGTTAATATAAATATTTTATATCTATAAAAAGAAGGACACAGGGAACTACAAAACATTTGCAAAACCAGGGATCCGTTACTACCCAGGCTTCATAATTTTACACTAGTGAGTGGAAAGGCTTGAAATACATCCTGAGAAAATACTACAAAAAAACAGGATTAGATGGCTTTAGGTTTACACAGCTAAGTATTTTGGAAGAGAGAATATTATGCATGCAAAAAAGGGATCATAATCTAGCCAAAGTTAAGTGCTCCCACTGTAATCAGCAGCTTAAAATGGTTAAATTTGGATTGCACTCTAGATTTTTGCAGGTGCAAGAAAAGGGCACATGCAAGTCATAAAGAACAAAAACATTGTCATCTTCTCCACATACATACATATCCCTGTTAAAGGTAAGTCTCCTTCACATATTTTTCTATTTAGGAAATGATCAAATAATAAATACTTAAACTCCATCTCTGATGATGTTTGAAAAGTACCAAAGTCCGCAGCTTGTCAAAATAAACCAAAATAAGAAGAGTTGGAAACAAGGATACGGCCCACTACTGTGCTCTTATATAACACATTCTCACTCATTTGGATGGGCAAGAAAACGTAAGTTCCCGTCAATGATTCAGATCCAACATCTGCCAAGAAACACCAGATTTAGTCTGAAATCTTCTATTGCTTATTCGAGATAGAAAATGAGGGGCAATTAAACCCACTCAAAGTTCATGAACAAAACATACTCCACCCAAACTCAGGATAGCACATTTGGGAACAATTTGTAGCCTTGAAAATCTTTTGGGGCATTCAGCTTTTGTGTTCCAAACACGGATGACTGCAGTGAATCATGGCATCAATGTATTGCTATACGTCTGTCTATAACTATATATCTTGTGTGTTTTCATTTCTTTTTTTCAGCTTTCCCCCTTTTCATTTATAATTCGGTGTATTCTTTTTCTTTGTTTTTATTCAGTTAATTAAAAAAAACCATTAACAACTGTTTGTTGTTTGTTAACAACAAAAAGAAAGTGACTATCAAAATTCAACTGGGAGTAAACCCCAATAATTATAGAGAATGTTCCTCATAGCTCTGCTTAGAAAGAAAACTTGTTTTTGTTTTAAAGATTTTTCTCTAATACTTTCGCGTGATTTACTTTATTAGGTAGTTAAGAAGTATATACTTATCTGAAAGCAAATACAATTATTTCCTGACAAAACTCCTTGCTTAACCCAGCCTGCTCATGTCCGAATTCAAAGCTTAATTGTATTTTATTGTTTTTTTCCTTTCTTTCTTCTAAAAACAGCTTCAGCAATATTTAACATTAGATTAATTTTGTAATCCACTAAAGAACTTCAGTTATTGGGCTAACTAGAAGAAAAATAAATATGTAAGTAGTCAAAGAGAGACACTTTGGTGTGGTGATTGAGGCACCAGGCTAAAAACCAGGAGACTGTGAATACTAATCCCACCTTCGACATGCAGCCAGCTGGATGATTTGGGGCCAGTCACTCTGTCTCAGCCCTAGGAAGCAGGCAATGGCAAACTACTTCTGAAAATGCTGCCAAAAAGCAAGGATTGGTCCAGGCAATTGCTAGGAACCAACACTGACTTGAAGGCACAAAAGGGGGGGGGGAATAGTAGTCCAAAGCTATGCTTCATTTGGGTGGACTGAGGACCAGAGAAAGCAAAGCAACAATGGAATTGGTGGGACTATATGTCACCTATGGGTAAGTCACTATTCTCCTACTTTTTCCCAGTTTTGTGGGGAGAGGTATGCTTGAGAGCTTTTTTTGTTTTATGTCTATTTTACAGTTTACACTAGAGACATTCCCTGTTTGAAAACAGCAGGGAACTGTGTTGTCAGTTTTGAATCATGGTTATCAAAGGGTTCTCCAAGGGAGAAAAAAATAACCTGTGTGTTGTCCTCTATGGAGTGCTTCACACAGCTATTGAGGTATGGAAGACCTTAATTGTTTGGTGTCACACAGTGGTCTCCTCTGGTATGTTCAGCAGCCTGAGGAGACTTTAGATTATATGTAGGATTCTCTTCCAGCCTTTGAGCCAGAAAGGGCCATCAGGGAAGGCAGAAAGCCACTTAGCTTCATGAAGCATATTTGGAGCAAGAAGGCCTTTCATGGCCCCTGCAGAGCTGTACAAAAGTGTGGCCTTAGAACAGCATGCAAATCTGGAGCCACAGGTTGCTTCTATTGTCTTACCTGCTACCTTCTCTAGCTTGTAACTGTTACATCCACGGCCATATTAAATTGCAGTATATGAGAAGGTAACCACCATTTAGGGTTTAGGGAAGAAGTCAAATTCTCAAGTGGACAAAGGTGTACTTCAAGCCTCCACAGCTCACTGCTCTCTTTGTTCAAATTTAAAACATTTACAAATGGCAGGGATGGGTTTGGAGGGGGTTTTTTAGTAGCTTTTTTAAAAGGCGAAAGATTTATACAATCTGAAGAGAAACCAGAGTATTTTTTATACTTCCTAACAACTACGTAACTTCAACAATATTCACACGCAAAATGTAAAACGAGAAACCAACATAAAATTATCACGGATGGGACATACTTACCTTATTTACAAGACGTCCAAGAGGTGTGTGAGAGTTTCCTGTCTATTATTGTACAACACTCTCTTCGTGATCTGCTGTCTTTGTGACATCACTCACTTCAGTTAAAGCCCACGGGATTTTTGTAGGATTTATCATGCCACCCGTGGAGTTTTTTCAGATCAGGAAGCAGAAACAGCCAGGGAGGCTGCAAAGTAATGGAGAGAACAAAGTAACAGGAAAACAACAGCTGCAGCTACATCTTTTACCATTGAACGGCGCAAATATAGGTTAAAACATTGGGCTATGCAAAACTTTGGATTCAAAAGCGAAAAGGTGTTTTGGAGCATGTCAAGAAAGATACGGGTGTTTTAAAGAGTTGCAGGCAGCTGCATCCTCAACAAGCGAAGATTTTGTCAAAATATGTCATGGCACAAGCTTCACCTCCTAGGTTTTTCTATGCAGGCCACAATGGGAAGATGAAGGGGCGGAGTTTCTCTTGTGACATCTCAATGCTATTGGTCATTGCTTCCCCTTAGATGCCCAGAACTGCAGGTGCTGTGGGAGCATTCCCACAAGCTCTGAAGCACATTTTTGCTTTTGAATTCAAAACACTGCATAGCCTTCCCCTGGATGAAATTAGAATAGAGATTTCATGACAATATTCCTTTTATTATCCAGAAGCTTCTGGTGCTTTAAAAATTGGCCCTAGCACACTAATCACATAAACTGTTGTAGAAGCTGTGGAACAGCTTTCCACCAGAAATCACTCTGACTCCTGCATCCCTGGGAATTTATTTTTCACCCCTGATCACCCAATGTCAAACCAAAGGCCCATTTAATAAACCATCAGGCTTTCCACAGAAGCCAGATAAATGCATCAGAGAAATCCACTAGCAATACCTGAAGGCTGTAATCTTCCTCCAACAATAGCTATTCAGTGTGAAACTAAACCTTCTGATTCGACTTAGGGATAACCCAGATGATCCCTAGATGGCATCAATGGCATACAAGAAAGTCCTCTTTGCTGCCATCTAATGGCCATCTCAGACTTTGCAGCCCAACTCTGGTAGCTCCAGTTGAGACCTCATGAATCATCTGCCATGATCATTCTTTTTTGTGATTGACTGTACAGGAAGAGAAACACACTGCCCTTTTCTCTTAGTGGTTGCTGTATTTGAGAACTGATCTTTTTCTGTAGGATCAAGATCACTTTTCACCAGGGAGGATCAATATGGTGTTGTTTTAAAGAATGCTAATATGCATTTTAAAATGCTATCAGCATTCTTCTTTACAGGACAGATAAAGTTGTCAAGTGCAATTTCACTCAGTTTCTCCTTTTCTCCCATATTTTGTTCAGTCAAATTTGGGGATTAACTTTGAAATGTTTTTGTTTCCTTTTGAGCCTATAAGAATAGCCATGTGCAGACTTGTGGACATTTCTCCTAAACTATACATAAAATGCATTGTTTTCATTATATGCCATCACAGTTAAACACAACCAATTTTGCATGCTATATTCACCAATAATATACAGTTATATTTTTTTTGGTTATTCATATTTTCATATTTATTTTTGGTTCAGAAAACCACAGTGGAAGATAAGGACTTTCTGTTTTACATACTGACTGAGGAACTGTAAATTAAATGCCAATTAAAGTGTCAACTCCATTTCTACATATCCCTACAGTATAGTCAGTGATTTTTAATGGAAGGAAAATACCAGTCATCAGCTTCAACACCTCCTCTTATAGCTCAGCGTGGCTCTTTCTTGTATTTCCTTTATTTCTTTAGTACATTTATATCCTGACTCTATTCCACCATGTTCAAGGCATGATGTCAGTGCACTGAGAGAATGTACTCAGGCCATCAAGATAGTGTAACAAACCTCTCAAACAGTTTAACACATAAGTAGTGACCAGTTCCAAACTGCTTTGCTTCCAAAAAAAAAAAAAGTGTTTTATCATATTCCTCGGATGAACATGCTCTATTTTGAAATGGTTTGTCAGTTTTACAAGCATCAGTTTAATTTTCTCTTGCTTCATTAGTCTTTGTCAGCAAATCGCCAGCCATCAGTTCAGAAGAGTTCTCTAGATGGCTGCAAAGAAACTTAATATGCAGAGTCAAGCCAACCGTTGAACCTCTGGTGGGAATTAGAACAAGTCTTCGCCGTTAACAAGGCAGTTCTACTGACTTGAACATTTGTTTTAATTAGTTCTGACAGCCGATTATAGTGTCATAGCACTGCCTTCCTAATCTGGATGCTCTTAAAATGTATGGATTTCAACCCCCAGAATTCCCCAGTAACCATGGCCTTTGCTGAGACTGGTGGAAGCTGCACTCCACACATGTAGAGGGCCCTTAGGTGGCAAGTGTAGTGCATTAATTCACTTGTAGTGAAGTGGACAACATCACACCTAAAATGTTTTAGGCATAGAAAAGCTTAAACTAGACCTGCCAATCTAGAGAGTGGGTAGAAACCATCAAAGGCCCCAAAACTCAAATTCTAAGCAGCCAATTAAGAGCAGGAAGGTCTCCCTGGTGATATTTTAAAAGGGGAGGTTCAGCTTCACTTCCTTTGTTCTTTTGTCCTCCAAAATAGGAGTAGAGGGCATCTTTTCTCAGACTGGCACTAACCAGGCAAAAAACCTACCCCAAGGTGGAGAAGATTCGAAGAATCAGAAGAAAAATAGCAATAGGGAATAATGGAGTGAGATATGAATTTGTATCTTCTTGTTTCTTTTATGGATTGAGCTTTTCTAGAATTCTATTGTGGTCTATCTGTATTGTACAGTATGCATGTGTGCATATGTATTTCCACCTGGAAGAGCAGCCAAGGAGTTAAAGCTTGCAGGTCGTGATATTTTCATTCCCCCCTTTTCCCATTATCTTCAACGCTCTTTCACCTTAATCTACATAATAAAAGACTTGTATCTTCTTCTGGAATCAGTATGCCTATTCTAACTTTCTAGGTGCTCTGCTAAGCTACAGAAAAGTGTGGCGGGGAGCCAAGACAGATTTTTTTTTCACTTTCTTCCTCCTGATAAGCAGGGCATAGATTGATTTTCTGTGGAACGAAGTAAAAGGAGGCAGCATAAGAAACAGGCCCTCCCCAAGAATATGAGAAGGTGCAGGAGGATCTAAAGACCCCCTTAGGGAGACAAGGGGTCAAATCCATGACATTCCCAGGCAGGTGTGCTCTTGCATGTGGCATGCCCCTGTACATGGTGGCCAGCAGGGGGAAAGAACTCTAACATGACTTTTTGTTTAATGAGCACTAAACATTTAGTGAACTCAAGGATTCTTGAGTTCTTTGAACCAAGTGTTCATTTGTTTGGGAGAAGTTTTGTTTTGTTTTGCTCCGTTTTGTTTTCTTGCTTGGCATGCCTCTTTGAATTAAATATTCCTTCTTTAAGGGCAGATTTGTTTTTCCTCCCTATCTTATCTTGTAAACAGCAGACTTGGTATTGCTAAGTCAGGAGAGAAGGCACATGTTCCTAAGCAGAAGCGAAATCATACAGAATGCCAATCCTGCAGAGGAGAAACAAGAGATCAGGATGTTGATTTCCAGGGAAAGCACCAATGAAGTCCAGCAATAGTTGCCTGAGGGTATGGAAGCTGACAAGTGAGACACAGAGTATTGTATCAGTTGTGTGAATGGACAGCAAAGCTAGAATTAAAGGAAAAATATGCTGCTTGAGAGGTTGAATTTTATCTTTCTCTAGAAGAGAAAAGGATAGCAACTAAGACCAGGATGGCACAGAGAAGTAGATTTCTTCAGTGCAGACCCTTCCCATTCCCAGTGCACAGGAGTGAAGCACAAATACTGACTATAAAGAGAGGAGAGATGTGGAAACCTATTTGGCCAATTTTGAATGGAAATGTGTGGGATATGACATTCCCAAAGAGCAATGATTCCATTGTACAACAGTGGAATGGTCTATCTATGGAGATTGTGGGTCGTCCATCTCTGGAGGCTTTTAAAAAATGTATAGCTACCTCTTATGGATTTAATTGGTTTTCCTGCACATTGCAGATGGTTGGATTAGATGACCCTTGTGGGTCTTTACAATTCTGCAATTCCATGATCCAGTACATGAGTTGCCTGAAGCTAAACATTCCACTGACCATGGAAATTGAGGTCAGTGACAAAAATAACTATGCACTGCTCTGGGAAGGTTGAAGATGAGACTTATCATAGCAAATGACTGTAGGACATTTCACAACTCATGAAGTTCAGTGATACCAATACCTATCAGATCAAGTTTGTGGCTGCACTTTTTGCTTTCTCTTTGCTTTCTTTTTCTTTTTTCTTCTTTACTTTATGAGAGTTTGGATTAGTTTTTATCTTCTTTTTTAAAAGTTTCAACAAAAATAATATTTAAAAAAAAATAGAAACAGAAAACACCCCACCCAGCCAAGCCAAAGCCAAAGCCAGGATGAGATATGTGCCCAAATCAGCTCAGGGGAGAACCTTTGCCACTAGCAGGACGACTCAATGACAAATTTACACTGCAATGTTTCCTTTGTAAGCAAGTGGGAGATGTCAAAAAAGATAGTCCTAGGCAGGAACTTCTTTCAAGTACATAAATCGCCAATTCGCAAAAGTACCAGATCCAAGACCACCCAATATACTGAAGAGGCTATTCCCCCTGAGAGACTGCATGACTGTGAACAGCCAGTTGGTAATGGTCTGAAAAGACATGGGGGGGGGGCAGTTATTTTGGTAGGGCACAAAGTGCTTCTCAGAAATCACTCACTGGCAGATGCCCTGGTAACTTATGCAGAGGAGCCAGAATGGAAGAAAGGATACCCCTACTCAAAGTGCCCATCTGGATAGGAAACTGGAAGAGAGAATGGGAGTATGTCATCACTGTGCAGTCACTTTGATGCTTGATGGTGATCTGGCTAAGCATGTATGGGAAATCCAGTGTGCAAAGACTGAGAAGCTGGGTGCAAGTCACAACTCAACCTTTCATCACCTGAAATGACCTCCTTCCCTTAACCACAAGAAAAGCAGGAAATGGATCCAGACATAGCTGATCTGAAAGAGAGTGGAAGTCCTCAAGCCCTATCACAGCATCCAGTGACAACTTTTCCTGACTTTGGAGAAAAGGAATGGAAGTCCTATTAGAGTCCCTCTTTCTCTACAACCAGATCTGAGACCAGGCAGCAGGAGAGCCAGGATAATATTTCTGAGTTGGATGCCTACTAAGAAGTACAGAAAAGTGACACAAACCTAGCCATAATCTGGGAATTAGTGGTGAGTGACTCATCACCCCACAAAGGAGAACAAGAGTCATGATAAGCAATTAAAGATGGACTTCTCTTCATAGAGTACCTCCTGGTGGCCAGAAGGAATATGGGACAGTTCGTAGTGCTTATCCAGTTTCACCTGCTAAGCCTGTCTCATGACCACCCAAGTTGACATGTGGGAGTGAATAAAACCAGACTGATCCAAAACTTGTACTGAGGACATGGGAAAGATGTTAACTGCTTATGTGAAATCCTGTGACATATGTCAGTGCATGGGGAACTGCCATGATAAGACTAAAGCCCCTTTACATCCACTGCCAATAACAAAGATTCCTTTCCAGAGAATGGTGATATTGTGGGGCCAATCCATCCAGAGACAAGCAGCATGTCTTGATGTAAGTACATTATGACCTTGAGCCAGATTGATGCCAAGCCCATGAATCAGTCTTTAATGGATCTATTTGCTAGAACAAGCTGGCCAGTTGAGGTTCTCACAGATGCTGGCATGAACTTGCCAGAAGTAATAACAAACCTATGGGCTGCACAAGGCTTGAACATCTGGTGTTAGTCCATTATCATCATCAATTAAATGGCCTAGTTGAAAAGGTGAATTAAATTTTGGAAACCATGATTTGCAAGTATGTTAATGACCCCAGTTAGTGTATGCTTACCCGGTAGTACCACACCCAAGCCTTGGTTCTTCCCTTTTAAATTAATTCATCATCAGTAAAGAAGAAAACTTCCCACCCAAATACTCTGGACTTTTTCAACTAAAGCACTTGACAAGACCCTGTAGCTTGCCTCTGAGATCCAAACTGAACAGAAGGTTTATTACAATGAATACCAGGGACTGGGTGCAGGAGCCAGGGACTCATCTCCTGGTTCTGAGGTCCCCCATTACATACCTCTAGTGTTTACATTTCCTGATTAATCATGGATTAATTGTTAATTCCTTTGTGGATTATTTGCAGTCTCTTTTTAACAAAAATATTGAGGTATGTGTGAGACACTTTATAATCTAATTAAGAAAACTAAGAGTTATCTTCAATGGAAATGCCATCTGCCACCACATTTGATTTTTCATTACAGTAATGTACTAGAACCACCTTAAAAAACACGTGTTCCTTTAATTAGAGCCTGAAACTTTAGTCCTAATACTAATACTTTTACACCCATATAATTTGGGACTGAAATTTGTGTTCCCTTTCTGCTTATGCTTTGAACTTCCACCAGCTAAAATGCTTATGGAACATCATTTTTCATGACTCATCTTTTTGCTGTAAGTGCTTCTGAGCAATCCACCAGACAGCTATCTAGTTTTGGGGGTGCAAGGTGGTATATGTGGTACACAGTTTTATTTCTTTGTTTAGAAAATATATATGGTCGCACATCTAACATATGAACTCTGGGTGGCTAACAAAAGAAAACAAGTTAAAATTATCATAAATTAACCAAGGCACCATAGAATAAACTCAGTCACACAAATCATACCTATGTTGGGCTTATCTATCATCCTGACCCAATGCCTGTGGGAAAAGCCAGGTCTTCACAGCCTTCTGAAAGACCAAGAGAGTCAGGGCTCTCCAGATGGTTGGAGTTTTGTCCTCCAACACCTGATCACCAATGCCTGTCCAGCAACTTGAGGCAAAGTTTAAAGTTTAAGTGTGCTTAAAGGTAGAACCAATTCAGAAAGTTGTGCTGATTGTTTTTAGTTCAAATGGCTTAGCACAATCCTCAGAGGTGGACACGTGATATAAAACCTGTAAAAAAGACAAGTACACTATGAAATATTTTCTATTTTATCTGTTTATTACATTTATATCCCATCTATTGTCTTGGAGCTCAGGGCAGCTTACTTTTCACTTTTTTCCCACACCAGCCCTGTGAGATAAGTTGGGAGAATAGAGAAGAATTGAGCCAAAGTCATCTAGTGGGTTTCTATGGCTGAAGGTGGGCCGGAATATGGGTCTCCCTGGCTCTAAGCCAACATCTTAGCCATTTTACCAGCTATCTTGTGGATCGCCTAGTAGCAATTTTTATTTTCTTTCTTTCCTTTTTCCTGTTTGGGGAAAGTAATTATATGAGTCCAGTTCTGCAACACAGTTCATCTATAGCTTTGGTAGAAGTACAGCTTTGTCATTTTGTAGGCTGAGCTGCATGTAGAAAATGTGATTTGGTTCAAATCATGATTTGGGAAATCAAAAATCAGACAGATTCTTCTCAGATGAACTTGCAAATGTTAAGTTTTGTATTTCCCACTGATAACAACTTGGAAATCAAGAAAAGACTGTAAATGTTTTTTCTTCTTAACAAAATTGGATGAGATTTGAGACCTTTTTTTTAAGAAGGTCAAGCCTGTCAAATTTAAGTGTGTGTGTGCGCGTGCGCGTGCGCACACACCCACATCCAAGACAATAGATGGGATATAAATTTTTGTAGGCTGAGCTGCATGTAGAAAATGTGATTTGGTTCAAATCATGATTTGGGAAATCAAAAATCAGACAGATTCTTCTCAGATGAACTTGCAAATGTTAAGCTTTGTATTTCCCACTGATAACAACTTGGAAATCAAGAAAAGACTGTAAATGTTTTTTCTACTTAACAAAATTGGATGAGATTTGAGACCTTTTTTTTAAGAAGATCAAGCCTGTCAAATTTAAGTGTGTGTGTGTGTGTGTGTGCGCATGCGCACACACCCACATATACTAAACACTTTTAAAATTTTGTGGGGGTTTTTTCCAAAGTGTTTGTGGTGACTGCCTACCTCTCCATATTTCTGAGCAAACTTGGATAAAATCTGCTAAGACTTTTTCTGAAGAGACTAAATCTGCCAAGTTCCACATGAATTGTTCACATTCACCATTTAGGTTTGTTTTTTTTTAAGGATATATTTATCTCACTATGAGCTTTCTTATGCATATGACGTTCAACCTACAAATGACCCCAGTTAAGAAACCTGCAGAATTTCAGAAGAGTTAAGTCAAAGGGCTAGGGAATTATGATGAATGAAGATCAGTTTTAAGTTTTTTTGTTTGTTTTCTCCTGTATTGGCACCAAAGTCACAGGAAGTGCAGTAGTCAAAGATGGACGATGGATGTGGAACGAACAGTTGAAATGAAGCATTTGTGTAATTCCCTCATTTGTACACTTGGCAGACTGTACACACTTCCAAGAACTCAGTTACAGTAGATGTGTTTTAAAGCCCCTTCTCAACCAGAAAGAAAAAGGGGGGAGGGTTCTAACTAGACAGCTCCTTTTTTAAAAAAATGGACCCCTCCTATCTTTTTTTTCTTAATAGGAATTGGTGTTTCTGTGTCTGCAGTGTAGAAAAAAGAAACAAAAGCAATGAGGACACATAGGAAACTTACAAGTGGAAGATGTCATTAATAAGGATTTGAGCTGAATGTCTTCTCCTGGATATTCTATTCCTGTTCCCAACATTATGTCCCCTCCAGTCTTCCTACTTGTTCCCTCCCTCACATATACTTCTATGGATCCATATGCCATTCCATGAATGAGGCAGAACAGGGGTTAGGCAAGATGATTTCAAAGATCTCTTCCACCTCTTATGTTTTATAGTCCCATCTCCTGATGAAAAACCTTGACTGAAATCACCCAACGATGGCAACTCTGACAATACTTCCAGAAAAGTGAGTCTCTGGTGCCAAAGTAAACGTAAACATAAAATCTCCTTCAAGTAGAGTTTGATTTCTGAAGCTTACATGGGTGATTACTAGTCTTACATTTCAAGGACACAGAAGTATCCTTGGAGTCTGAGGCACCTTTTATCTAACTCAACCTTCCCCAACCTGGCAGCCACCCAGATGTCATGGGACTGCAGCTCCCAAAATTCAGAGCTGGGGTGGTCAATGATGCTGCTCTGCCAAGCTAGCCAGTAACTTATTTCTCCAAGTCCTCTCCGTTTTTTTTGCCCAAAGGTTGTGCTATTACCACTGAAGACAAAAACAAAACAAAAAGACAACCCAAATATATTGTTATTGATCCAACCCACTCAGCAGTCTGCAATCTCCTCCAGGATAAAGAGGTCCATCCAAAGAAATGCAATTTCCAGTTACCAAAGATCTCTTGTCTAACCAGACATGTCTCCCCCACTCTTAATTGAATTGTTTCGATTGCCATTTAGATGATGCAAAAGGAGGACCTGAAATTTCTTTCCCCCAGCAAAAGCGGGGAGGAAGGAGAGCCGGGGATTGGTTTGGAGTTTGTGGTGGGGGGGGGGGAGGGTTGCAACTACTGGATCCGAGGAACAGTTAAGATGAGAAATGGAATACAATATATATAATCATCATAAAGCACTTCCAGTTGCCTTCTTGCCCTCCATACGGTAGGGAACAAACACACACAGCTTAATAAAAATGCTTTCAAGGAAGCCAACTCATGCAATGAAAGCATTGTTTTCTCTGAGTCTTCTCAGAACTACATCCTACGGAGTTCAATTACATTTACTCCAAGTCTACTATGTTCCTTGACTTCCCTGCACTCGATTCATCCTGTCACTGTGATCCAGAGATTTTTTTAGCCCAGTCTCTGGTGATCCAGGGCTCCTCAGCTGTGTTGACGAAATCCTCGATCTCATGCCAGCTGTGAATTATGGTGCTGGCATCAAATGCAGGTGGAAGTCTCCAGACTGTAGAAGACTGCTTCAGCCATATCTAAAAGTCCCACCCCTGCCCTCTCCCAGTTGCAGGGCACCCACTTGGGAGTGATTATTGTGGGGCCATTCAATGCCTTATCCAAGGGACTTTTTAAGCTGCTTGATTTGGGAGCTATTTTTGACAGGTGAGACTTGATGCCAAATGAACAACACACCTTAGATTTCATCTAAGCAGCGAAAGGGGTCTCTTCCTAACTGAGCCAAGATTTATTTTCTTTCTTTCCTTTCCCCAAGGTATACTGCACCACAAACTAACCACGGCCGTTCTTTCCCACAATTCTCTTAACCAGGTTGGTTAAAGATTTAGTGGTTGTTTATACAAGCTAAACTTGGTTAGCAGTACCATGTGTCTGGAGGTATGAATTTATGGTTTGCACATAGGCGTTGGAAGAGAGCCACGACAGTCTATGCTGGCAAAAAATCTGAATGAGTCGGGTAGCACCTTTTCGGATTAACAGATTTTATTAAAAGTAACCAGCTTTTGGGAGCAACTTATGGCTTTTAATAACATTTGGTAGTTAGGAAAGGTGGTACCACACTCATTCAGATTTTTTTCCCCCAGGATTTGCGCATGCTGCGATCCCAGCCGTCTGGTTAGTTTATGATTCTCAACCTATAACACGGGTTAATTCGGTGCGCGACTTAAGCCTATTGCGGATACTCACAATTAGTTCTGCCGCTTCCCCCCCCCCCCAGGAAGGACCAATAAAAACGTATCTGCAAGGGAGGGGATCTGTTCCCCTCCCTGAAAGCAGCCCAGCCAGGCCTTCAAGCCTCCAGGTGGTGCGTCTGTTGTCGCCCCGTCTGCGAGGTGTGG